ATACTAAAATTCAACCATGGTTTCCATTACCATCAAATCTTATCAATAAGGGTGAAGAATGGATACCAGAAGTTCAACTAAATGCAATAGTATGTGCTCTTATTTCGATAAGATTTTGGACAAGTCTATGAGAATTTCATTGTTGTAGAGATATGATTCACCGGAAGTATGTGATTTAAAACGATCTGGTATTGGTAAAGTTCCATGTTTAAGCTATTTTGAAACAGAAGATAGACCAGTTAAAACTATTCATGCACGTGCTGCTGCCGCAGGTGGTTACGATAGTGATGTGCAAGTATAAATTGCTAGTTTTTATATATAAATCATATGTTTGTATATAGATATACAAGTACGTTTTATTTAACATTTATCCATGGTATTTCGCCAGAAGCAGAACATTTATTTGATTTACCAAATCAATGGCCCTCTTATTGTGGCAATGCAAATACAGGTAAACTATAGATTTCAACTACTTATTTAACATTACTCATATTGTATTTCTAGGTTTTAATGTAGATCCTATGCATGGATTTGTAGTAACTCCAGATGGTCAAGATCATTTTTCATTGAAATTAAACACACCACCAATTCGTTCACTTGGTAATCAAGTGACAGTTGAGTTTAAAGTACAACCAAATTGGTATTACAATGGTACACGATGTGCTCAATTTAATTCAATTATTTTCGATAAAGAAAATTGGAACAAACCACAACAAGTTGATATGTCTTTTGGTGATTATGGTTGTTGCACATATGCAATTACTGCAAATGGTGGTGGATATGAATGGCAATATCAAGTACAAACATTTGTTGTTTATGCATGTGATGGACAAGCTGGATATGGCTGCAAAGGCAAAGAACCATGTGGAGCCTGAAAAAATCCGAAAATAAGAAGAATGATATCCAGACTCATACATATGTGTAATAAAAATCGTTTTAACTTTATTAAAATGAAATAAACATTTTTCTTGATAATAGTTATTATATGACAAAGAAACGAATATTGTACTATTATTCATGTAAAAAAATAGTATATTCTGTTCTTTATTAGAATACGTGGAGAATATTAGCAAGTAGCTACATTCATCGGCAAAGAATTTCGATAGAATATCTACAGTTGTAATTGAACTGCTCTTTGATAATGCGAAATTTATGTGATTTTTCGACGTTTCAACTAATTAAATAGTCATTTTAAGAAAGAACATCACCATGATCTTGACTTAAATAATTATATTTGAATGTCCGAATAATCACTATGAACAGGAGTTTAATTTAGTTTACTGAACTTTCAATGCAGTTGTGTTGCTGATAGGCTTTACCTGAAGTTATATTGGTAAATGTTGCTGAAATGGATAATTTTTTGTCGACATTATGAGCATTTATCCTACTCTTATTTGGTATTTTGCTTTGATTCTACTATTAGGTCATATATATTTGGATTTTTCCTTTTTGTATGTATGGCGTAATGGGATATTTCCTGGCTTGAACATAACATGGGCGTGGGTGTGGGTGTGAGTATGGATATGGGTGTGGGGTGTGGATGTGGGTGTGGGTATGAGTGGTGTGAGTGTGGGAGTGGGTGTGGGATGAATTAAAACTATGACCCACATCCACCCGCACTCATACCCCACACCCACCCACACCCAGCCACACCCACACTCACACCCCACCCCTGAATTAAAACAAATTATGACTCAGAACTATTCACTTATCTGGGTTCAAAATAGCTGGGATGAGACAACGACAATTTGTCGAAATATACTCACACAGTTGCGTGTTTTTGTCACCGATGTGACAATCTGTAACTGTAAAGATTCAGCGCATTATATTCAGTGCTTGAATAACATGAGTGATGAAAAAACCTTTGTCATCATCTCTGGAGATTTGAGTCAACATCTAATATCACAGATACATGGCATGCAAAAGGTCGATACCATTTACATTTTCTGTGGCAATAAAGCAACATAAACAATGGTCAAAAGAATGGACAAAGATTAAAGATGTTTTTACTTCAATCACAGCCATTTGTGAGTTCTTGAAAAAGATCATGAATCAAGTCGATTATGACACTATACCTATAAGCTACCTCTCGAAGCAAACTATAGAAAAAGCAGCAACATCAGCTGATGATGAAAGAAAAAAATCCGATCAATTGCCACCATCTTACATGTATTCTTCAATATTCCAAGATATCATTTTGGACATTGATGAAAATGATGAAAAATAATTACAAGATCTAATGATTTATTGTCGTCGTAATATTCATAAAAGGAATTGGGAAATTCAGACTATCTGAATAAATTGGATTATTTGCAGAATGAATATTATAAAAGAACAGCCGTCTGGTGGTATAGTGATAAGAACATGTTTCTGAACAGTATGCTTAATCGTGCTCTGTGTACACTAGATATGGAAGCTATGATAAAGATGAGCTTTTTTTATTCGTCATCTTCATCGACAATTGGAACAATTGCATAAGGAACGATCCGAGGAATACAAGAGATCATTTATTGTGTATCGTGGTCAAGGACTATTGTCCAAAGATTTTGAACAACTTCGTAACACGGAAGGTGGACTTTTATTATTCGATAATTTTTTATCAACAAGTATCAAACGTGAAATAGCAGAAGGTTTCATCGAGTCCGCATTACCGAAATATAAAGACAATGTGGGTGTTCTCTTTATCATGACAATTGATCCGAATAATGTATCAACATCGACAATTCCTTTCGCTCCTATCCAAAAATATAGTGTTTTTCAAGAAGAAGAAGAAATTCTCTTTTCGATGCATACCGTATTTCGTGTACCTGACATTCAACAATCAACAAAGAATAATCGCGTATGGGAAGTACAATTGACGCTAACTA